TGAGTCCAGTTACTGTTTGTTATTTACTCAGCCATGTAACACAAATTAAAATGCAGTGTTTAATGTTACTGTATGAGTTCCAATATAAAATACAGTTGTACACCTCTCTTTGTGTGTCTTTATTATGACGTACGTCGACTAGTCACTACTATTTTGAAAAATGTGTCGACTAGTAAATATTGGTAGTTGTGAAACCCCTGCAGCCTTCTCTGGAGTTCACTGCCTTTTGGTTTTATATTAAATGTTATATATGTAACATCAGAGACAAAATGGGGTTTGTATTGGTTGAGCTATTTTACGTAGGCACAAATTAAAATCATTTTTACTTTGCTGATTATCTGTAAACGTTTTTAAAATCAGATCACAACAACAGTCACTGCATAGATAAAAAGGACAGTTTCTCTACCCAAAGTAGCCGTGTTTATCCTTCTAGTCAAATGCAATAAATTAAGCTGCCTCCAAGTTAATCAAAATAGCAAAATAATGTTTTAATAGACAATTGGTCCAGATTTCTTTTAAATGTAATTAAGATAATTTTGACAAAACGGCAAAATGTACCTATAATATAAGTAAAAGTTATCAAGCAGAAAAAGTGATACATTATTATATGTGACATTTGATTATCAAATTGTATGCATTTACTGCATCATCAATATAAAAACAAAAAGCGGAAATACACATGATGCTGTCTTAACATAACATATATACGATTTTACTTTCTTGGCTATAAAGCTCAAGAACTGGGTGATGTTTTGTGGACATAATGCAGGGCCCCACAACATGAATTATTAAATGTAAGGGTGATGACTTGGTGGGTGCTGATGACGAGTGGATGAGGAGGAGCATGTTTTTTCTTTTGAAGCGCTTTTAAACATTGCTAGTCTAAGGTTGGGTCTGTTTGTTGGCTTGTGAGTTGCTTTTTGTGGATTTGCAGATATGTAAACTCTCTCCCTCGTTTATACAACTAAGCCGATAACATAATACGGAGGCTCATTAGTGTCAAACAGGACAACAGATTAAATGGCAGCTGTGGAAGATTCAACTTAACTCTTTCTTCTCTCACCTTTCACAATAAAAGCCCCTTCAATATGAGCTTCTGGCTACAAGCACAACCATGGGGAACTTGGCTTGGGTCTTGAGGAGTTGTAGGATTTATTAGCTGACAAGTAACCTAAACTGTAAACACACTGCACTGCTAGTATATATATATAATGTTACATTCACAGCTATAACATTTATGCTGACTTCTCATTTACAGTCACACACACACTCGTGTTTTCTTTCTCAACCACACTGGCTAGCTTAACAAACACAGTCTACGCACCAACGGAGTTTGTTACTTGTTGTTATAAAAAAATTAATCAAACAATTAACAATGTTTAGACCCAGTCGCCTAGCAAAACACTGCTAAACCCTGGGTGTGTTTGAGTGTGTACATGTTTGTTTTACTCATGTTGTGGAGACATGGATTTGATTACACACTCACATTGTGGGGGCTTTTTTGTGACAAAATGCAGTCCCATTCTTTACACCATTAAACTGTAACACTAGGGATTGTGTGTGTGTGTGTGTGTGTGTGTGTGTGTGTGTGTGTGTGTGGGGGGGGGGAGAGAGAGAGAGACACACAGAGAGACACAGAGAGAGACAGACAGAGTGAGAGACACTTAGTTTGTGTGAACATGTGACATGATCAGTACGCAGACATGTTATGGATGGGATGGTGTGTGTGACTGATTTTTTAAATGTCTCCACACATACCTATAAAATAGGAGAACCCTGTTTGGCAGCCGTCTCCTTTATTTTGATGCCAATAAAGTGCAGGATATGATAACAGAGAAGGGGGGGGGGGGGGGTAGTTCTGCAGAGAAGCAGCAGTGATGTAATGCTGATAGCAGCATCACATTTGTGAAAGAGCATCCATGTTTCCACGCTAACCCTGATCATTTACCCACCACAGATCGATAGTCCCGCAGGTTTCTGGAACATCTTCTCACTCCATGCCATCACAACAATGAAAACACATTGTCTTCATCAAGAGTATCTCACTTTAACATTGTGACACAGGAGGAAAGAGCAGCAAGCCATAATTACATGCACTACTCTCCGGGTGTGAACATCAGCTTTGTAGAAGTGTTCGGCTCTGATTGTCAGTGACGTTGGAAGCTTTATCAGGACCTCCAATGAAGATAAACAGCTAAACAACCCCTAACAAATACAATTTTTAGCTAGATACTCTTGGTAATTTGCATTTCCTGCAAACAACATATAGTTTCAGTATGATTGACAGCACAGTTGAAAAGATGTGTGTGCAGAAGGCATTACAGCAGTGTGGATGCATTGTGGTGGCTCACCTGCACAGAGCAGAGCGGAGCGGAGCCACAGCAGTCCGAGCAGCAGCCCCGGCGGTCCCATGGTCCGCCCGGCGGGGACTGGTGTGCTTATCTCGGACACAATTTCCGCGTTTTGCTCGACATCTGTGTCCTCCAGCGAGGCTCCCGCATCTGTTTTCAGTTCAGACACACCGAAAGGTCCTCCTCATTACGGAAAAGCATTGTGTCCTTTGCAGCGGTAGTCAAGACACCAGAGTCAAGGCAGCTGTGGCAAAGGAAGCGATTTCCGGTCAACGTCTTCAAAATAAAAGCTACGTTTTATCAGCGCAATATAGATAGAATGGCTCTGCGTTTTGTTAATCAAATTATTGCGTTCATGAGAAACAGTAAACAGTTATTTAAAGATATACTTGTTGGAAACGTGTAACCGGAAATATTCTTTAGGAACTGATTAACCCTTGTGCCCTCCTCGAATTGTAAACCTTTCGCCACCTTCGTGGCAAAAATGTACACGCCCCAAAAAACTGCTATTAAATCCTCATACATCAATATTTTGTTCTACTTTTTTTTATTTTTAGTGAATCACTTAAACAACTTCTAACTTGCTCAAAACTACCAAACATTCAATCACTTTCAGGATTTTAACCCTTTAAATGCCTGATTCATTATTTGTATTATTTCATTACTAGCGACAAAAAAACACAAAAAATGAAATTGCTTCAATATAATAATTAGTAGGCGGATGGAACTTTGTTTTTTTGGTTATTAGAGTCAGTTATATTATGGAGGCGTGCGACTACCAGGGGGCCCAGAGGTGTGTGTGTGTGTGTGTGTGTGTGTGTGTGTGTGTGTGTGTGTGTGTGTGTGTGTGTGTGTGTGTGTGTGTGTGTGTGTGTGTGTGTGTGTGTGTGTGTGTGTGT